TATCGTCGTCGAGAATCACTCGTCTGGCAACTAGGGTCTAATTTACGCCAATCAACGGCAATTATTGAGGGGAAGGGAGCCCCTATTAGAGAGCCTCATCCACTTAGTCTAATGAATGAGGAAGATTCAATCTTGGCTGTGGAGACGCATCGGAGAGGGGCTGCAGCTGAACGCGACGGCAGCAGCGGGCCGAAGACGAGCGGCTGTTGTTTATCAATCGAGGGGCGCTGTCAGGGCAAACAGGCGTTCGCCATGGGGCACCGGGCTCTGGTTTCTGATGCTCCGAGGGCTCATCTGCTCAGTGTAACAGTTTGTGTAGCTCCTGTATGGGTCAGAGTTGTAAACTAAGTACAAACACTTTATTACTGTACTTAATAGGGCTGCAACGATACAGAAAATTCATGATTCGGTTCGATTCGATACTTTAGTCTTGGTTCGATTATTTTTATACAAAGAAAGAGAAATTTCCATGCCCCCTTTTAACTTGTAATTTATTGAAATTAATTATGGACGTTTGTTTAACCTCAAAATACAGTTTTCAAATTAAATGTTGCTGAAACAGCAAGTTTCTCACTGGATCTGTGCTCGACAATTCAGCCAAGGTGGAGCAGTCGAACACAGATCCACTGATCCTTCAACACAAAAGCAACGTCAGAAGACAAGTTGATTAAATTAAATAAATCTGTATTGTTCCATACAAGTGTGTGTTGAACCTAAAGCACTCTATTGAACAGTTCAGAAGGAGTACATGTATTGTTGCACCCCAAATACTTAAGTGGAAATTTTGATTATCTGTACTTTACTTGAGTAATTATTTTTCAGCCTACTTTTTATAATTTTACACAATTATCCGTACTTTCTGCACTTTACATATTTTAAAAAGGTAAAAATTTGTTACTCATATTTCATTTTGACTTGTTATTGTTAAAAAAATACTGTTAAACTGCACCTCCTGGGTTATTGCAGTTGGATGAGAAGTATAACTATAAACCATTCTGACACAATATTAGTTTGTACACAACCCATCACAGCTGCACACTTTTAAAAAAAGTTTTTTTTGGAGCGGTCACCTCCCAAGAAATGTCGTTTTGGAAAATCTAACTGCACAGTTTTTACGCAATATCTTAACTTTTAATTGTTAAGCACATTTTATGTTAGAAATTTAAAAAATATCAGATACTTTCAGATTTCTTGCAAGTAATATTCTTAAAGGGGACTTTAACTTTGACCAACTTCATGATAAAATACTTTAAAATACTTTGACTTTTAATACTTAATTACATTTTATGTTAGAAATAAAAAAAATCAGATACTTTGACTTCTTGCAAGTAATATTTTTAAAGGGGACTTTAACTTTGACCAACTTTATGATAATATACTTTAAAATACTTTTACTCAAGCATCACTTTGAGATACTTTATACCAGAGGTTCTCAAAGCCGTGTCTTGGGGGTCCTCAAAAATTGCAAAAAAAAAAATTGTTAATTTGGTATTTACTTTAAAAAGTGCATATGGGGAACAAAAACAAACATATAACCAAACAAAAAATATATAACTGTAGCATTTAGTGGTTAAAATGACAGTAAATTATTTTTAAAACAGCATCGTCTTTATGAGGGGGTTCTGGAGTGTTTTTCACCTTTGTAAGGGGGTCCCCAGATCAAAAAAAAAATTTAAGCTCATTCATCATCAACTGATGCTGCATAAAACTAACATTTTTAAGCATTTAGTTTTAGATGTTTATTGTCGTAAAATCGAACCTTTTGCTTTGTGCATGCACTCGTGTAGGCGCTCTGTTTGCTTTTTATGGGTTTTTTTCCCCCAACATTTTCCAAATATTTCTAATTAAATACCTTCAGCGAGATAATTGTGTGGAAAAGAGMGGTGATTATCATTTCTTCTGAGCATCATGTGCCAGCTGATTTTGTTTTTATCCTTCCTTTTTTTAAATCTTTGTGTAAAACAGCAGATTAGTGGGTATTCCTGCACTGCCCTCTGCTGTTGCAGGAGAAAATTGTGTGTTTTAAGGAGTCAGAGGGTTTCAATTTTACACACGTCACTGCTGTTAAATGTGTTAATAAAAAGGATTTTTTTAAAAATATTTGTGATTTTTTTTGTGCGGCTAATGTTGTCGTTTGATCGTAACTGGGGGTGTAAGCCCGAATAACACTCCGCTCGTGGAAAAAAACAGTTTTCACGTGTTTACCCTGCAAATGTTTGTGGTGTCTCAAACTGCATCAGATCCTGTGTGTTATGACTTCTTGCAATGCTTGTTGCATTCTTTGTTTTCTCTTCTCTTTTTTTTTCGAGTAAAAAAACATAAATTACAAAGGAAAAAAAAAACCACTTTCTATCTGAGTTGGATGGTTGCCTCCCTGGGGGAATTCCAAAACGTTTCACGTAGCTTTCTGTCGGGGTTTAGCTTTTCCAACATTGGTGAGAGGGTGCACAAAGTTATTAACAGCAGCAAATATTTCCATCGGGGAGTGTTTTCGCTTCCGATTGACGCGCTTCTAATATTTCCGTGCTGAACAAACGTCGCTGACATCTCCCCGTGCTGTGCAGATTTCACATTTAATCGAATTAAAGCGATGAAAAAAAAAAATCACTTTTGCTCATTTTTCTTTTTGATAAATACGAGTTAAATGAAAGTGTTAATCATAAACGTGAAAACAAACAAAAAAAAAAGGAAGTAAAACAAACCCTCTGCTTTCCATTTTCATTAATGGACGAACTTTGTTGTGGTTAAGGCCACAAGTTCAGCTGAATGACTCATTTTCCTTCGTGTTTTGCTGCTTATGGGAACAGTGGGATGAGGCACGGCAAGTCATTTCAGACTGCGCCTTTTCCCCTTTTCGAATTTGACTGATCAACGCTGAAAATACAAACTTTGAGCCTGAAATCTGMGGGGGCGGCAAACCATATTTGTTCCTGTGGTGACCTTCGCTGCCGTCTGCCTGTGGGCTGCTTGTTCCATTTTACTTTTCACGCTCTCACAATCACTAATGGCAGTCCCCGCCGAGGACACATTATGTCTCAGGGGTTCAAATATTTCAAAGTAACCTTTAATCGTATAGAAAGTTTCARTTCTGCCAGTTTGTGCACAAAGTCGAAGCCCCCTTTCCACCCTCGCATCCCTAACCACAAGCACTTCCTCCTGTCACAAGCTGAACAATGATGCAAAAATAATATATAGGTCAACAACTGCCCATTGTAGATTACCTAATGTTCATTTTAATATAGTACACATTCACCCAAATGCAAAGAAGAGCCTTTTGATTTTCTTATTAAGCACAAAACGTATTAAAAGACATGAAAAACCAGCTACTTTTAGGAGTCCAGGGGTCCCGTAACATGCTCAACCATGTGAAACTGCACAACAATATGGAAGAACTTTATAACAACCTATTTACACACATAAAAATACCCATTTTATTCATATAAGGTGACTAATAAGTCCAAACTATTTCGGGCAATCTGAATTCAGGGCAAGTCCCTGAACAAATTCGGCCCTTTTACAGCCCTCCTGCAGGGTCACTGCACATTTATGCAAAAAGGATACTGCCATGTAGCGACACGTGTCTTTATAGGTGACAGAGGAAGCCCCCTTTCATGCTGCGTCGCACTTCTTCACCACACAAACTGAGAAATCGAAACAGACACAATGGAAACGAGCGGCTAAAATTGGCCTAAATTAACAGTTGGCGTAGGCTAACGGCAGGTCAAGATGAAATGTTGGTGAAACACAACTCAAGGCAGCGCAAGACTTCACTGTGGTTTTTAGGATTTGACGGTGTTTGGTGTTTGCWTTTCTTTTAAACATAACTCAAAAATGGTTCAAATTAAAGTTTGAAGCCCTGCCTTCCATGCCAGTTTTAATTATGTAGTAATTTTGTCTCAACCCTGAAAATAACTATGGGTAACGTCACATAACGCTGAACAGAGTATGCTGTATGTTGTCTGTAACTCCACAACTGTCATATCAAGTTAAAAAAATGCCACCAAGAGCTTGAAGTGGGGAAAAGGCCAGCTAAAAGATAAAAGTCTGGCTAATATGGAAAAGCAAAAGTAGGGGGGGAAGGCCCTTGTTGTTTACCCAAATGGTAAACAACAAGGGCTTGTTGTTTACCCAAATGGTAAACAACAAGCTAAAAGCTAAAAGTGGCAAGGGCTAGACAAAATCAACAAGTAGCTAAAAAAATTTCAGCCGGAAGTCCTTCCTGACGCAACCTGGGCTCGAACCCACAACTTCAAGACCATCCGAACACATCCCCCAAATATTTTGAAAAATATAAAAGTTATGAGCTTAACCTTTTGATATTTGAATGAATAAAATAGCAGGAACTATGTGGGAGAAACAAAAAATAAAATAAAATAAAAACAGTGTCGACTATCTTCAATCGCAGTTTTTTYCCCCCTATAACCGTGTAATCATCTTCTTTTAATTAAAAAGAAAAAAGTAGGACCTAGTGAAACGTTTCGTCTCTCCTCCAAGAGACTTCTTCAATCTGATGAGTTTCAGGTGAACTCAGCCTTATAAGCTCCGCCTCCACATGGACAAACAGGTTAGTCACATGCAAAAGAGGGCCATCGCCTAACAATAGGCTTGGTTAGCTCTATTGTTCATAGAGGGTCATGTGCCCCATCACCTGACTTATTGGTTTGGATCCTGTTATATGTCTGTAGTGAATGCAGGCGGGGCTCAACGTCCACTTGTTTTTGTCTTTTTTCCCCTTTTTGTGTTGGTTATCGTTGGGGCACCTTTTGCTCACAGGGGGCGGAGTCATACTTGCGACACACAGCATTGTAGGAGGAGGACAACTGGGCACGAAGGCCTCCACCTCTGTTTAGTGGTGGACGTTTTACTTCACAAAGATGGCTTCCTTCACTCCTCTCGCAAACCAACGTTCCTCTCTATCCAGGAAGAGAACATCTTCATCCCTGAAAGTGTGACGGCTTGGACGACAGACGAAACGTTTCACTAAAGAAGAACCCATCCAGAGGACCTGCTTATTGTTTTCTTTTTGATTTTTTTTTCTACCTGGATATGCATCAGGACATCTTCGTTCAACTAACGATCTTCGGACGCAATTGCTGCGGCGCACGTGAGTTGACCGCTACGTTCCGGGCAGACCGCTGGACTGCTAAAGCGTCGCATGCGTTTTRTTTCTACAACATTCAGACGACAAATTCAGCTGTCGAGTCTTTTTTTTTCTTCCCCCGAACGAGAACAGGTAAACTTGATAAGCACTGCGTTTGYTTTTGTGTTTTCTATCGTTATGTTTTATAAGCAGCGTCGCTCGGAGAAAGAAGGAGAAACATTGGAAACCGTGTTAGCGGTACTTAGGCTAACATTAAATAGCATCCTTTGCTAACACCGTGGTTGCAGATTTTGTCTAGATTTTGTCTTGTGGCGTTGAAGAGGACTGGGCAATCAAGTTCAARCTGAAGTTTAAAATGTTAAAATATTTATTTATTCCAAGCTGTTGAGGCTATCGACCTAGCATTGAGGTGTTAAAAAAAGGTATGTGGGGGGCTAGCTAATTAAGCTAATTAAGCTAATTCGGCTTCAGTTGAACGCGCGCACGTTCTTTACCAACAGATTTGTTAGCTACAGCGCTAAGTAGGCAGAGTTGTAAAGTATCTACAAATACTTCTTTACTGTACTTAAGTAGAATTTTTGGGTATCTGTACTTTTACTTGAGTAATTATTTTCCAGCCTACCTTTTATCTCTAGTTCTTACATTTTCACACAATTATCTGTACTTTCTACTCCGTACATTAAAAAAAGAAAGACAAGAAGTAGAAAATTGTTACTTTTATTTCATTTTTGCTTGTTTTCATTCCAGCTTGTTATTGTAAAAAATAAATAC